GATGTTATCATAGTGATAGATGTTATCATAGTGATAGATGTTATCATAGTGATAGATGTTATCATAGTGATAGATGTTATCATAGTGATAGATGTTATCATAGAGATAGATGTTATCATGGCATTAATATTAATGGGCGGTGTTTATCGCGCTATGCTAACAATAAGCAATAAATCGAATATAATAATAACTAATTAAGCTTACTTCAACAACTAATCATTTGTTAGGTGGTGGAATACCAAGGCAGTGAAAAGAAGCAATAAATCGAATATAATAATTAATTCAATCTTATTTCAATGATTAATTATTTATTAGGTCAGTGGAATACCAAGTGTGGCCTAAACTGTTACGGACGAAAATAAAAAGTTATGTACTTAATATTGTGTCCTAAGTCTTAACTGACTTCAATGTGCTGAATCTAAATTTGATAATTGTTTAACGGAATTAATAATGAGAAGACATGAGAGCTTATATGTTAAGGTTGGATAAATAATAAATAAATAATAAATAAAGAATAATAAACTAAAATAAAGTTGAATTATTATCAATAGGGCCTGAGCGAATGTGATATGAGGGGCTGACCTGAGCGGGTGAGGGGCTCGAGGAGGGGCTGACCTGAGCGGGTGAGGGGCTCGAGGAGGGGCTCACCTGAGCGGGTGAGGGGCTCGAGGAGGGGCTGACCTGAGCGGGTGAGGGGCTCGAGGAGGGGCTGACCTGAGCGGGTGAGGGGCTCGAGGAGGGGCTGACCTGAGCGGGTGAGGGGCTCGAGGAGGGGCTGACCTGAGCGGGTGAGGGGCTCGAGGAGGGGCTGACCTGAGCGGGTGAGGGGCTCGAGGAGGGGCTGACCTGAGCGGGTGAGGGGCTCGAGGAGGGGCTGACCTGAGCGGGTGAGGGGCTCGAGGAGGGGCTGACCTGAGCGGGTGAGGGGCTCGAGGAGGGGCTGACCTGAGCGGGTGAGGGGCTCGAGGAGGGGCTGACCTGAGCGGGTGAGGGGCTCGAGGAGGGGCTGACCTGAGCGGGTGAGGGGCTCGAGGAGGGGCTGACCTGAGCGGGTGAGGGGCTCGAGGAGGGGCTGACCTGAGCGGGTGAGGGGCTCGAGGAGGGGCTGACCTGAGCGGGTGAGGGGCTCGAGGAGGGGCTGACCTGAGCGGGTGAGGGGCTCGAGGAGGGGCTGACCTGAGCGGGTGAGGGGCTCGAGGAGGGGCTGACCTGAGCGGGTGAGGGGCTCGAGGAGGGGCTGACCTGAGCGGGTGAGGGGCTCGAGGAGGGGCTGACCTGAGCGGGTGAGGGGCTCGAGGAGGGGCTGACCTGAGCGGGTGAGGGGCTCGAGGAGGGGCTGACCTGAGCGGGTGAGGGGCTCGAGGAGGGGCTGACCTGAGCGGGTGAGGGGCTCGAGGAGGGGCTGACCTGAGCGGGTGAGGGGCTCGAGGAGGGGCTGACCTGAGCGGGTGAGGGGCTCGAGGAGGGGCTGACCTGAGCGGGTGAGGGGCTCGAGGAGGGGCTGACCTGAGCGGGTGAGGGGCTCGAGGAGNACGTATAAATAAAACGGGACGTATAAATAAAACGGGACGTATAAATAAAACGGGACGTATAAATAAAACGGGACGTATAAATAAAACGGGACGTATAAATACGGGATTACAACACCGTATAAAAAAAACTCGGGATTACAACCTATAATATAGAAAAAAATATAACTCAGTACTCACTGCAGTGAGTGACAGAGAGCGCATTTTCTCGTCGACGAAAACGCGAAGTCACGGACAGACGGACGAACAGACGGACAGACAGACAGACAGACGGACGGACGGACAGACGGACAGACATGACGAACACAATAGTGCATTTTTTCAATAAATGAGTAAATGCGCTAAAAAGAAACTATCCTCTATGAAAAGAAACTTTACTACGGAAAAAATTATACTACAGAAACTATACTATATAAAATCCCAATTACCAAGTATAGAAAGTCAAAGTTCACAATCGCATAATTCTAGAACTCATAATATTAATATCATTTTATGCAAGAGACCAATATTGTATTCATTTGACAGTTGAAACTGGCTTTATTTTTGATTGAACTTTAATTTTTTTCGCATTGGAAGCAAATAGCGTTCCAATATATACAGGTTCTGATATATATATACAGGTTTTCAAAAATGCAAGGCTCATATTATGCAAATAGCGACACACTTTCAGTATGTAGAACTGACGTGACTTTTTTCCAGACTAAACTGGATCAAGATGACCCACAAAAGAAAAAATCTCATTGTTATTGGGACAAAGTCTCATTGTTACTGGGACAAAGTCTCATTGTTATTGGGACAAAGTCTCATCGTTACTGGGACAATGTCTCATTGTTATTGGGACAAAGTCTCATTGTTACTGGGACAAAGTCTCATTGTTACTGGGACAAAGTCTCATTGTTACTGGGACAAAGTCTCATTGTTACTGGGACAAAGTCTCATTGTTACTGGGACAAAGTCTCATTGTTACTGGGACAAAGTCTCATTGTTACTGGGACAAAGTCTCATTGTTACTGGGACAAAGTCTCATTGTTACTGGGACAAAGTCTCATTGTTACTGGGACAAAGTCTCATTGTTACTGGGACAAAGTCTCATTGTTACTGGGACAAAGTCTCATTGTTACTGGGACAAAGTCTCATTGTTACTGGGACAAAGTCTCATTGTTACTGGGACAAAGTCTCATTGTTACTGGGACAAAGTCTCATTGTTACTGGGACAAAGTCTCATTGTTACTGGGACAAAGTCTCATTGTTACTGGGACAAAGTCTCATTGTTACTGGGACAAAGTCTCATTGTTACTGGGACAAAGTCTCATTGTTACTGGGACAAAGTCTCATTGTTACTGGGACAAAGTCTCATTGTTACTGGGACAAAGTCTCATTGTTACTGGGACAAAGTCTCATTGTTACTGGGACAAAGTCTCATTGTTACTGGGACAAAGTCTCATTGTTACTGGGACAAAGTCTCATTGTTACTGGGACAAAGTCTCATTGTTACTGGGACAAAGTCTCATTGTTACTGGGACAAAGTCTCATTGTTACTGGGACAAAGTCTCATTGTTACTGGGACAAAGTCTCATTGTTACTGGGACAAAGTCTCATTGTTACTGGGACAAAGTCTCATTGTTACTGGGACAAAGTCTCATTGTTACTGGGACAAAGTCTCATTGTTACTGGGACAAAGTCTCATTGTTACTGGGACAAAGTCTCATNAGCAGCCTTAGTACACGTAGCAGCCTTAGTACAAAAAGCGGCCTAAGTACACGTAGCGGCCCATAGTACACATAGCGGCCGAAGTCCACGTAGCGGCCCATAGTAAACGTAGCGGCCGAAATACACGTAGAGTCCGAAGTACACGTAGCTACTTAAGTACTAAATACACGTTGCGACCTAAGTACACGTAGCGGCCGAAGTACACGTAGAGGCCGAAGTACACGTAGCTACCTAAGTACACGTACCGGCCTAACTACACGTTGCTGCCTAAGTACACGATAAGTGACCTGGTAATTTCAGCATCATTAGTTACAGGCGCATCGTGTGGCCTGCCATGTGCACGTTACCTGACATGTTTGTGGCGGCCTGACATGTTTGTTATGACATGTTTGTGACCTAACATGTGCGTTTGTTATGAAATGTTTATGACCTAACATGTGAACGTTACCTGAGCCTGAAGCTCCAAGGACATCCCCGTGCTGCTCTGCAGCTGCTGCAGCGTCTGCTCACACACGCTCTGCAGGTGCAGCACCCGTCCAACACGGCACCTGTTGACCAGCAGCTGCACCTGCCACCTCCTGCAGGTGTCAGATGGCGTCAGCTGCTGCAGGATGGCAGCACGTCCTGCCAGCAGGAGTTCGTCAGCCCTGGACGCAACTTCTCTGTCGCGTGTTTCCCAGCGAGAAAAAACTTTTTCAGCGTCGCAACCTTTTTGTGTCAGGAGATCAAGTTCTGCCAGCAGACATAACTTTGCCATGACCATCTCCTGACTGTCAGCACTTGTTCGTAGTGCTGGCAGCAGCTGTGCACGTGCTGGCAGTGTGATGCCATGGATACGGTTTATGTCACCACGACGGACGCAACGTAAAGCCGCGAAAAAACTTTCGTCGAAGTCGGAACTTTCCGGCGGCGAATTTGACGGGCGTTCCCATTGACCCAGCCGCCATGCGCACTGCGCGTGTAATGCTGTGCTGTGCTGTGCGTGTAATGCTGTGCTGTGCCGTGCGTGTAATGCTGTGCTGTGCTGCGCTTGCAGTGCTGTGCTATGCTGTGCATGTGAAGCTGGGTCCTCAAAAGACCCCTGTCCCTGCGGTATTCCAGGGTTATGTTGGACCCCAAATCCAGGGTTACGTTGGGCCCCAAATCCAGTGCTAAGTTGGACCCCAAATCCAGGGCTATGCAGGACCTCCTCCACAGGGTTGTTTACAGCCCCCGGGTGCAGGTGGCTGACGGCGCTGTAGAACCCCGCGGCGCTAAGGGCGCCCACGATGCCCGACAGGCTACCAGCGCCCTCACAGATGGCCAGTGCCTGCAGGTGGCGCCCTGCGTGCAGGTTCACCAGCGCCCTTTGCTCCCATGACTCCGACGACGCCCTTGCGCAGCCTTGTACGCCCGCGCTGTCCCCCAGGGCGCTGTAGACCTACAGCAGGAGAGGGCGGGTGATGGCTGAGGTCTTGGAGACGTGGTTGTGAGGGGAGAAACATATTCAACCCAGCCTCACATGACATGACTCAACCCAGCCTCACACGACATGACTCAACCCAGCCTCACATGACATGACTCAACCCAGCCTCACATGACATGACTCAACCCAGCCTCACATGACATGAC